TTTCCTGAGTTTGGTTGTAGTTGTTTAGAGAAGGAAAACATTATTCATTATCCTTCTGTGAAAATACTTTCTTATCTTGCATTAAGCATGACTTTCCTCCTGCCATTAAAGGCCTTTATCACAAAATCATTTTGAATGCATTTATATGTGTTTAGAAAAATGGGAAATATCAAAGACCTTGTCTATTTCACCTTAATTAAATTCAACCATTATTGAAACTGTGGACTAATAAGTTACTGATTGATGCTTTGACTAATAACCGACACAGACGTTGTTACGCATAGGTCGTTACAGTATTTACCAATCAATAGAAAGATAAGACTATCATATCTTATCCACAAATTTCACCATGAATTGCTACTCATTTCATCATGACCCCACCCCACAAGTTGCTGTCATTTATTGTCTCTTGTTCATTTCAAAAGTGAAATAGCCAGGCCATGTATATTGCCATCAATCACCTGTCACATGACACTAGTAAGACCAGCCTGACAAGTTATATATTGTTAGTTATATTGAAATCAGTCATTGTACTCTGACAGCATGGTGTAAAGACGTCAAGCAAGGCAACAAAACATGTTTGACACACAGAAAAAATAATAAAGCTAGTCCTCCCCCAGTGTTGGCTAACTCATACCATTATATGGCCTCTGATGGTCCTAGAAAATAGGAATAAATAAAATATGACCTGATTGCAATGAACAAGGGACTTCCTTGTCAGTTATAATACATTACCAACTCGAAAATTGATTATTGTCTTATCATAAGATAAAGCGTGGGTTTATGTGTAGAGATTAGAAGTGTACTGTCCTTGCTCCCAATAAACAGCCATTATACATCTGAAAGATCATGGCTGCCATACTGTTACATTGTGACTTACGCATAAAGAATTTATACTGATACAATGGCTGACTGGTTCTGTTATTAAAAAATATCTCATTTAGTATGTCATGTTATTGTATAAAGTATTGTTGAGTCAACCCACTATTCCTGAATCAAAATGCAAGGTTTATGAATTGCATGTGAATTTTCAAATTTGATTTAATTGTCAGTTTATGAAATATAAAACTCATACAGAGTGAAGCTTGTATTTTGTTCCATATTAAAGAAAATCAATTTTACATTAAAATTTTCTTGTCTGAGGATTTGTGTGAAGTAATAAAATTGTTAATTTATCAAAATAATTGGCAAGCGAATGTCCTTGAGGTTATGGATCAAATTCAGGAAATATAATCCCTGAGAATCACTAGCACAAGTCTTCAGATTAGTTCTGAATGTGTGTAAAATTATTCTTGCTTGTTACCCAGTCCCTCAGCTGACCTAAATTTCTGGAATCCTATCCCTCCACAAGTAGATGAATATTCCTCTTTATAAGGCAAATCAATGTAGACTTGCTGTTTTAATCCACAAAATATATGTATTTTTGGCCTATGAAGTCCTGATGCCTTAAAACTTTTGAAATGGTATTTAGACAAAAAATAGTTGATTTTGAGCTGTAATGAAAATAATGATATATTAGGGAATGTATACCAGTTTTGTTGTTATAGTGAGGAGTTACATACATATATTCTTTGTAGCCTTTGTGGTTCTGATGTTTAGAATTTCTCAAGCTTTTGTATATTTAAGCTTTGTGACTTATTCATCACGGGCAAGGAAGAAATAAGCCGTGTGTTAATCTAATGTGAATATATTTCAGTCAAACATCAATATTTGCTGCCATGTATGACAGAAATAAAGAAACTGATTACTTTGATCTTTGAGTCACTCTGCAGTCATTTATCTGTGTAATAACAGCCATAGTGATAGTTCAAACGAACATATTAGTTTTGTTGGTCAAATGACATTATTAAAAGCTGACCTGAATTTCAGTATGCAAACTGTTATAATTCTCTTGTTGATAAACCCCTCAGCTTTTTCAGACCTCGCAATTTGTTCTTCACAGCTTTCACACATTTGTTACATTTAAATTTGTTATGGTCAATTTGTACTTTTTCAATTTTTTTATGCATTTCACATTTTTAAGATCTAAATAAACTTAGATTGTTTAGAATATAGGATAATTTTATGTTGTGATATGTGTTTGTGAATTGAATAAATACATTGTTCATTTTCTTATCATTTTACAACCAAGTGTTGACTTCATGATCTCACAAAACAGTAATTTATTATTGAAAATTCAGTTGTTGCTGTGTGAGATGTTGTATATTTTCAAATTATATTAGTTTGCGTCTTTTGTGGTCTGCATTGTTTTCATTGATTTGCCGTCATGTTACATCTTCACACACTTGGGCTTAATTTGATCATGCTGTGAACCTTTGACCGAAACAAGGAGAGCAGACCGAGCTCAGTATGCGAGTAGAGTAAGACCCCTCCTATGTAAACATGGCGTTGAAATTTATATCGGCCAGGATTGTAAGTACGATAATATACCATCCACAAACTGCTATGAAGAAGACGCATGACCGATCATGCACAAAAGCTATTAAACATTGTTCGAGCCCTCAAGTGAATGTTCTGGATTGAGAATGAAATGCCCTGGCTTGCTATTGTAAAAATATTGTAATGATGGTCTTGGAAATTATATAGACAGGGCTGATAGAACGTATTAATGGTTGTATTATTCCTAGTATATTATTGTTGATTGTGCATGTTGTGGAATTTAATCTGACATGGAATTTTGCAGAAGGAAATTCCATTTTGTTTTGTTATATCCCTTTTAAATGTGTAAGAAGTGACATTTGATTAAAATCATGTTGCATTCAGTGTCTGTTTTATTCCAGTGATTGAGTATTTTGTTAGTGGTATGTCTTGTGTAACCAGAATCAAGAGTTATCAGAAGAGGTTTGCTCGAAATTGAATTTTGTTTTGTCTGAAACATAATTTTCATTTCTATCAGCAGAACTAAAAAGGTTTTCGCTGAAATAATTGTTTATTCAATTGAAACCTTTGAAACAATTTTACAAGGAGAGTTAAGCTTCCATTTGAACATCTTCACTCTTGATATGAAGAGCTGATTTGAAGTAATATGTATATTATATAATATGTATGGATTGCCAGAAAATAAAAGTTGAAATGAATCAGTATAATTTTCTGCATCAACTTTACTATAATTCGTTGACAAGCTTGTGTTGTTTGACAAGATGTATTTATAGAATAGTACATAGTCAGACTGTGCATTGGATTGTTTGTGCAAAGTCCTGAAGACTAATTATGTTAATTAATTGCCTCCTGACGTTGATTAATTAGATTCCAATAACAGCATGGTACACCCTAAAGCATTATCTGCTATGTCGTTTACTTGACATGTAATTACTGCAAAAGGAACGCACTGATGGACACATCAAGGGTGTATGTTTCATGTTGTTAATGACATGCTGTAATTCTCTGTTGATCCTGTATAACATAGCTATAGAGTCTGCAAGTCAACCTGAAGAATGTTTTTGTTTCTTGGAGGAATGCATAATTTAAGAGACTGTTATAAGTGAAAAGCTGAAAGATACTAAAAAGATCCCTTACTAACCTGGCGTACCAGTACATTTCTTGATTTAAGTAATTTCTTTGTTAGCAAGTTCATCAGTAAGGCATCAATACATGATAAGGTAATCTCTGGTGCAATTTGTTGTTTATTTCATTGAATAAAGACTGTAAAAAATTATATAATTTCAAAGGAAAAGGTGTAATAAAATATGAAATTTTCAATAAAACAGACCATTTTCACATATATTTGTTATCTCTTTTATGCTATTTTTGACAAATAATGAGTTGGGTTCTTCATAACTAACCTCGGTATATCATCATACATTGTGATTCAGCTACTTCTACAACAAGCAAATAACATCAATTATTTATTAGTTATTTGGTGTAGTTTGTTGTTAAAGAATATTTATTGTGTTTACAAATATCAAATCAAATAGAAGGTCAGGAGATCAATATTTTCTGGGCAGTGGCCTGAGTGGCGTTAAAAAACCCACATGACTGGTTCAGATGGAATTGTTAAAAAATGGACAGCTATTTGCTGTTAAAATATTCATATTACTTGTGGGTTTCCATGATAACAGACTACTTGTTTGGCATCAATGGTCGATTCACGAAGACATTAGCATGGTCGACAAGCAATGGTAGAGTTGTTGTTTGATGACGCCAGTTACCTTTATATGGCTATTGTTGCTGACACGCTTATGTATGTAGTAGATCCACTGACTTGTAGATATAATTGGTATTGATTACACCCTCAAGGCAAACACTAGTCCATGTTGGGCAAACTGGTCCAAGGGACATAACTCTTACTTGGCTAAGGGATGCATGGAGTTTGGCTGTGCACCAGTGCTCAAGGCAATGATGAATGTTTTAATTAAAATAATTTAGAAGATTAATTTACAAGAATAGTTGTGTTTGCTGTATTTAATGCTTGTTTTTTTAATTGGGATTAGAGCTTGCAAAGTTCTGCTGACGTTCTGAGTGGATTGGGGGCAGTTGGGTAGCTTAATGGTTCAGGCAATCACTCATCATGCTGAAGACCTGGGTTCAATTCCCCATATCTGTACAATGTGTGAAGCCCGTTCTGGTGTCTCCCACTGGGATATTGCTGGAATATTGCTAAAAGTGGCGTAGAACCTCACTTCCTCCCTGACTCCCTCCCTGACTCCTCCTTCACTCACTCCACTCACTCACTCACTCACTCACTCACTCCTCCTGACTCCCTCCTTCACTCACTCCTCACTCACTCACTCCTCCACTCCCTCCCTCCACTCACTTCCTCCTCCTGACTCCCTCCTTCACTCTCACTTCCTCCCTGACTCCCTCCTTCACTCACTCACTCACTCACTCACTTCCTCCCTGACTCCCTCCTTCACTCACTCACTCACTCACTCACTTTGTGATTCCGTGTTCACAAAACTGACCAATGGCTTGAATGCTCTAGGTATGTGTTGACAAGAGTATTTTGACCATGTGATCAATATCGCAATAGCTTAATCAAGATGTCCTCACTTTCTCTTCAGAATTTAAAAGAACTGCCCTAGACTATTCCCACCATGGAAGAAGGAGCAGATGAGATTGAGGTGATCGTCCAGAGTGTCCTCGGGCCAGGGTGTCCACAAGGGCAGTTTACACTGAAGGTCCCATACAACATCAGCGTAGAAGGGGTGATGAGACGGGTGTGCAGAGAAGCCAGTGTACCATTGTTGCCACATTACGTTTTGAAGAATGCCAAGAATGAGGTGCTCCCCTCCCTGGAGACATTAAACAACTTGGATGTGATCAACGGCAGTGTGCTTCACTGGAGTGACGAAGGTAGGTGTAGAGAGGGGGAACAACTTGGATGTGATCAACGGCTGTGTGCTTTACTGGAGTAGGTGTCGACGAACTTGGATGTGTAGGTGTAGAGAGGGGAACAACTTGGATGTGATCAACGGCAGTGTGCTTTACTGGAGTGATGAAGGTAGGTGTCGAGAGGGGGAACAACTTGGATGTGATCAACGGCAGTGTGCTTTACTGGAGTGATGAAGGTAGGTGTCGAGAGGGGGAACAACTTGGATGTGATCAACGGCAGTGTGCTTTACTGGAGTGATGAAGGTAGGTGTCGAGAGGGGGAACAACTTGGATGTGATCAATGATGAAGGTAGGTGTAGAGAGGGAACAACTTGGATGTGATCGACGGCAGTGTGCTTTACTGGAGTGATGAAGGTAGGTGTCGAGAGGGGGAACAACTTGGATGTGATCAACGGCAGTGTGCTTTACTGGAGTGATGAAGGTAGGTGTAGAGAGGGGGAACAACTTGGATGTGATCAATGGCAGTGTGCTTTACTGGAGTGATGAAGGTAGGTGTAGAGAGGGGAACAACTTGGATGTGATCAAGAGAGGGGCAGTGTGCTTTACTGGAGTGATGAAGGTAGGTGTAGAGAGGGGGAACAACTTGGATGTGATCAATGGCAGTGTGCTTTACTGGAGTGATGAAGGTAGGTGTAGAGAGGGGGAACAACTTGGATGTGATCAATGGCAGTGTGCTTTACTGGAGTGATGAAGGTAGGTGTCGAGAGGGGGAACAACTTGGATGTGATCGACGGCGGCAGTGTGTTTTACTGGAGTGATGAAGGTAGGTGTCGAGAGGGGGAACAACTTGAATGTGTGTGCACTTGGACTATAAGGGTAGGTGTTAAGATCAACTTGTGCCTACAATTGTCAGAAACTCATATTTGTGACTTCTTGCATCTTCCTTGTATCTATAGCTAATGAGTGGTAAGAGAGTTGTCACTGCATCTCTATATGGCTTTACTGAAACAAACCAGTGGCCAGGCACTGACCATTGTCTGGGATGGTGACACAACAGGACAGCCAGTGTCGAAGCCTAGTGGTTAAATAAGTTCTCTCTTTCAAGCCAAAGATCTGGGTTCAATTCCTCATATTGGTACAAGTCAAGCTCATTTCTGATGTCCCGTCATGATATTGCTGGAATATTGCTGGAATATTGCTAAGAGCAGCATAAAAATCAACTCACTCACTCTAAAATATCATAAGGTCTCCATCACTAACAAAACACCTGGAACAATCTGTACTTGGTAATAATACCAAGGACTGAATTCTACCAATTTCTCCCAACTTCTGATTCAGATATATATCTTTGAAAATCGTCTTTGTTCACTTACTGGCGGCAATCAAAGATTAAGAAGTTCCTGTGCATGTTAGTGTGTTTGCTTGATAAGAGTTTCCCAGTCAATACTTCACACGGTTAAGTCCAGATTGAACAAGATTATCAAACTTGGTAGTACACAGGGGAACAAAAGGCTTCTTTGACTAACCAGTGTTGGCTAGCCAGCTTGGCAGAGACATCACAGGTAGCTCCTGATGGGTGTGTTTACCTCCATAAGCAAGGAATGCTTTCCACTATTACGACTAAACTTTGCTGAATGCTATCCATTTCAAACAAGAATACTGCCTGGGATTTGTTTAACAATTCCACTGATGTAATCTATTGTGAAGATGGTGTTTGTTAGGTAGGGACTAGATTGTGAACATTAGTTTGTAGAATTTGTATTTGTAAGTCCTAATGTCCAGGATATTTCTGATTCCAAATCTTTCAATTTATTGAAGAAATGAGGCTGCATGGCTGAGAATAATAAACTCACACTTTCTTTGCCAAACTACAGCATTGAATAAAGATGATATGTTGAAGCTTTTCCAGCTTAAAATTTAAAAGTATATCAATATGAGCCAAAAGATTGAGTGCTGTGGAGGCTGTAGGTGAAGATGCCTCTGTGATGCAGTTTAACTCAGTGTTCGAGGAATGTGTTCCATACTTAATATAAGATAAGTGTTAAAGACTTTATGAAGTTCCAATTGGGATACGATGACATGTGTCAACCAGCATGACCACCCGATCCCGTTCGTCATCTCTTACGACAAGCATGGGTAACTGAAGATCAGTTTTAACCCGGATATGTCTAGGTTAGACATTTGTGACCAACAGTTTATATGCTCAAGACTGTGATCTACAGTTGCCATGTTGATCCTAGCGTGTATCGTCAAGGTTTTACAAAGATGTTTTACAAAAGTGGTCCTTTGTCATCTCCCTCAGTGTGGAGATTCATGACATGGGCAGAGTCACGTGACCTACCGCATGTTTGTGAGTGCTCATTTTTGAGGACTGGGGGCTACAATGTTATCTGGGTGGTGTCATGTCAGTGTAGTTTGTCAATCGTAGCTCATGTTGTCAACCACTGGTTCGACTCGTCTATGAAATAGCTGAATGATTGCTTCAGTTGCAGTGTAAAACAACCCTCTTAAATGAACAGTCAAATACGGATTGCTTGAGAAATCACCTTTGTTCAGAGTCCCTGGACACATGTATCACATCTACCTACAGAACTTGATATACCACTCATACGTTTTTAGTGTCCCAGATCAGGAGTCACGTCTGTGTATCTAGAAATAATACATAATAGAATGAATTGTTGAGACCTTCAGGTGAACAGAATCTATTACTTCTCTTTCATTGTTTTGAACAAATGAAGACTCCTAGATTGTTTTCATTCACAATTGGCTGTCTTTAAACATGAGGGCTGCCTTCAAAGCAGCAGCGTGATCGTGTGGATTTCACGATTGTTTACTGAACAAACAGTCTCCAGAGAAAGGGGACGACCCAAATGGTGTTTGTGGGAACACAGGTGAACTGTGATAAGTGATCCGATTATTGCTCTCGGGTGAAGAACAAGTGTTAGTTGTACAAGTAAATTTAAATGTTTTAAATAGGTTGATTTCTTCAGCATGTTACAATTGCCAATTATGAATTGATCTTGCATAATGCCAGAACCTTTTTATCAACTTTTTGTTTGGTGGGGATGTTAACGGGGATGTATAAAAAGTATTTCTGTCAGTGTGTAACAAAGAAAATATGAATATTTTTTATTTTGTCATGCAATATATGTGTGTCATGTTTGCATAATGAAGCTGCGACCAGTGTAGACAACTGATCAGGAAGTTCCTCCCCCACACATAGTTCCTGAGCAGACGGTTACTTGATCTCAGTCAAATGAGCCTTACATTTGCTTCTTGCAGAAAGTATTGATCTTTACTGGAGAGCACTGTTTCTTCCAACTAATACTTCAGGAATGGTTTACACTTCTGTACACGCTTTTCATTAACACTGGGAGACATCTTTTAAAAGAAGTCACATTACTTAGAATATTTGGCTTTGGTTTTCTCAGTTGTGCACTTATTTCATTCAGTTCTGCTTTACTGATCAAAGAAACAACTTCGGTTGTACAGTCATAAGATTGTGTATATCAATGTTTGTGGTATTATTTAGTGAGTGTGTGCTGCCTCTTTGCATGATGGCTTGGACTCATAGAAGATGGCCAATCATGAAAATATCAATGTTTGTTAATGTTTTGTGTTTGTCTGTGAGGTTCATCAACTTCCTGTTATCTAGTTGATCTCTTGGGCATGCAGACACCTTGACGGGCATTTTATTCCTGGTTTGCAGCAGTTATGTTTCTAGGCATCATTCCTGTGTTGGTGGGTTTTACCACAGTGGCCATTGTGTAAGACTTGTATCACTCTGGACTTTCCTCCCACCAGAACCCATTATCTGGAATAATGTCCAAAGCAGTACTCACAGGACAGACCGGTCACCAGTCTGCACCATCACTGTCAGGATTCAGATACTGGGACATCTGATGAGTCTTTTCCCAGTCAATCTAGAGGGTCATTGTAATGGTGGGGTCTATCAGGGAGTATACAAGATACAGAGCCTGTCTATAGGTGGGTGTCTAGCTACTACATGAAGGTACTAACCTTCACAGTGCCTCCTGTTGATGCAAACATTGATACCCATCTGGTATCCTTTTGTTGACACCATACCGTACCCAGCTAAGTACCATTCTGTTGATGCACACATACTGTACCCAGCTAAGTACCATTCTGTTAATGCAAACATACCATACCCAGCTGAGTTCCCTCCCATTGGGGGCGGTGGGGTACCCTAGTGGTTAAAGCGTTGGCTCGTCACGCCGAAGACCCGGGTTCGAATCCCCACATGTGTGAAGCCCATTTCTGGTGTCCCCCGGCGTGATGTTGCTGGAATATTGCTAAAAGCTGCGTAAAACCAAACTCAGTCAGTCAGTCAGTCCCTCCCATTGACAAGAACAGACCTTACCAAGCTGGGTACCATTCTGTTGACACAAACATACCACAGCTCGCTGTGTACCCAGGGTATTCACACTGTGTATTATGATCAATTTCTTCTTGTTCAGATGTGTCTACGGGTGTGAGCGATGTGAAAGGCTGGTGCAACACCTGGTGGTTTATGTGTGTTATCGCCTTCTTCATCGGCGCCATCGGCCTTTTCGCCATCAGTGTCGTCAAATCCAGAGAGGATGATGTGGCCTACAGTGTAAGTCCTTTGAGTTGTGTTGGTGTATTTGTTTCTCCTCATCAGCACATTAGATGGACATGATTAGATAGAGTGTCATACAACACATACAATATTATTGGATTTAACTGTATGATATGTAGAAACAGGTAATTGTCAGCAAATGTTTATAGTCACCCAATACCTGTTGTGGTGATGTTATACAGATCAAGGTGAGTCACAGAACTAGAAGACACTTCCATTCAAGGGACTCAGTACTACTGAACCATCTTGTCTGTTTCAGTATGGCATTGTGTTTGATGCTGGCTCGTCGCACACGTCCATGTACATCTACCGATGGAACGGTGCCAAACTGAATGAGACAGCAGTAGCGTCTCAGTTCGGGGAACCAGTCACACCCCCCAGGTAGGTCCAATGCCAGCTTCCAGAATTTATTCAGACTTTTGGTAGCGAAGTGATTAAAGTTTTGACTTGCCATGAGAGGACTTTTGAATAGTGAAGTGATTAAGCATGGCAGAATATTTTATCATCATGTGAGTACACCATGTGAAGTCCAGGTGTCCCACTTAGGTAACATGATTAGAATATTTCTGAAAGTGATGTAAAACCTATTTTCTTACTCTAACAATCACTTAAGTATTTGGGAATATGTTTGATTTTATGGTAGTCTTTGTTTAACTATTGCCAGCCACAGAGTGGTTGGCACCAGACGAAAGCAAAATGTTCATGGCTGATTTGTCCTGATATTACTTGTTGACCATATTGGGTGATCGATCAGCTAGAATCTGACATTCCAGTCCTTCAAATCCAATGTTGTACACAGCCATCCCGATTGTGTGTAAGGCAGATCTACAATTGTCTTTACATGTACATTTGCAGAATAATGATCACAGTCATGTAAAGTGGTAGTTCATGTCAATCGGCTCAGTCATCAATGTTAGATGATTGTTTCAGTTGCAGGCATCTCATTCTTCACCACTGACCCTTCTGAGGGTCGAAATGTCGTCAGGTTCTGTCTGGATGCAGCCAAGGACAGGATACCACGGAAGAACTGGAAGAAGACCCCGGTGTACCTTGGTGCAACAGCAGGGATGAGGATGCTGAAGTGAGTTCACTCAAGGAGCTGGGACTGATTGAGTGTGGGGGTTGTATCATGGTACTGGTGTGAGGGTTGTATCATGGTGCTGGTGTGGGGGTTGTATCATGGTACTGGTGTGGGGGTTGTATCATGGTACTGGTGTGGGGGTTGTATCATGGTATTGGTGTGGGGGTGTATCATGGTACTGGTGTGGGGTTGTATCATGGTACTGGTGTGGGGTTGTATCATGGTACTGGTGTGGGGTTGTATCATGGTATTGGTGTGGGGGTTGTATCATGGTACTGGTGTGGGGTGTATCATGGTACTGGTGTGGGGGTTGTATCATGGTACTGGTGTGGGGGTTATCATGTATCATGGTGTGGGGTGTGTGTGAGGGGATTGTATCATGGTACTGGTGTGAGGGTTGTATCATGGCACTGGTGTTGGGGGTGTATCATGGTATTGGTGTGGGGGTTGTATCATGGTACTGGTGTGGGGGTGTATCATGGTATTGGTGTGGGGGTTGTATCATGGTACTGGTGTGTGGGGGTTGTATCATGGTACTGGTGTGAGGGGGTGTATCATGGTACTGGTGTGGGGTTGTATCATGGTACTGGTGTGGGAGTTGTATCATGGTACTGGTGTGGGGGGTGTATCATGTTACTGGTGTGGGGGTTGTATCATGTTACTGGTGTGGGGGTTGTATCATGGTACTGGTGTGAGGGTTGTATCATGGTACTGGTGTGAGAGTTGTATCATGGTACTGGTGTGAGGGTTGTATCATGGTACTGGTGTGAGAGTTGTATCATGTTACTGGTGTGGGAGTTGTATCATGTTACTGGTGTGGGAGTTGTATCATGGTACTGGTGTGAGGGTTGTATCATGGTACTGGTGTGGGGGTTGTATCATGGTACTGGTGTGGGGGGTGTATCATGGTACTGGTGTTGGGGTTGTATCATGGTACTGGTGTGGGGGTTGTATCATTTTACTGTGTGAGAGTTGTATCACGGTACTGGTGTGAGGGTTGTGCGGGGCACTAGTGAGAAGGTCGCTGAAGTGAGTTCACTCAAGGAGCTGGGACTGACTAGGTGTTAGGGTTGTGCGGGGCACTAATGTGAAGGTCGTTGAAGTGAGTTCACTCGAGCTGGGACTGACTAGGTGTGAGGGTTGTGCGGGGCACTAGTGTGAAGGTCGTTGAAGTGAGTTCACTCAAGGAGCTGGGACTGACTAGGTGTGAGGGTTGTGCGGGCACTAGTGAGAAGGGAGTCGTCGCTGAAGTGAGCTGAAGTGAGTTCACTCAAGGAGCTGGGACTGACTAGGTGTGAGGGTTGTGCGGGGCACTAATGTGAAGGTGGAGCTGAAGTGAGTTCACTCAAGAGCTGGGACTGACTAGGTGTGAGGGTTGTGCGGGGCACTAGTGTGAAGGTCGCTGAAGTGAGTTCACTCAAGGAGCTGGGACTGACTAGGTGTGAGGGTTGTCAGGGGCACTAGTGTGAAGGTTGCTGAAGTGAGTTCACTCAAGGAGCTGGGACTGACTAGGTGTGAGGGTTGTGCGGGGCACTAGTGTGAAGGTCGCTGAAGTGAGTTCACTCAAGGAGCTGGGACTGACTAGGTGTGAGGGTTGTGCGGGGCACTAGTGTGAAGGTCGCTGAAGTGAGTTCCCTCAAGGAGCTGGGACTGACTAGGTGTGAAGACTGTGATCAACCATTTTTGTGTTTCAGTGAAGTGAACCAGACCATCAGTGATGAGATCCTGGATGTTATCAGAAAGGCCATCTCGGAGTATTCCTTCATCACCAGTGATGATGATGTCCGTATCATCACCGGGGAGGAAGAGGGGGCCTTCTCCTGGATCACCAGCAACTACGTTCAGGGCACCTTCCACGTGGTCAGTATCACAAAGCCGAGCCATGATCGGCTCTCTGGTCATTGCACTGAAACTAAAATGTGGCGTAGATTTTGATCAGTGGAATCTGACCACAACCAGAAGGCTCTGTTGATGTTTCTTTGGGGTTTTAATCTTACGTTAGTTCACTTCAATCTCAGTGTTGCAACTGAAATATTTTTCGAATAAATTTAAACCAAACTCTTCACTATTTCATAATGTAGGCCTTAATGGTTATCTATGTACAGTTTTGTGAGATATAATGTTCCACTGTTGGTTGGTTCTAACTCTGACTCATCTAAGACATTTAGAAACCTTTCTAGGAAACTGCAGAACACAACTGAGTGCTCTATGGTGTCCTCTTTTGTCTGACTTTGGTTATTTGAATTTCAGAACCCTCCGTCATCTGACATGTTATCAGAAAATCCAGATTCCAAGACAACTGGAGCTCTAGACATGGGCGGAGCATCAGCACAGATAACTTTCATTCCTAACATGACTGTACCTCAGGGGTACAGTCAGCCTGTGGAGCTGTACGGACACAACTACACCCTCTACACTCACAGCTTCCTCTGCTACGGCATCAACGAGGCTCTTCGGCGCTACAGAGCAGCCCTTGTACAGGTAGGTTACACTGTCATTCAGTTCTAGGTTAGGTTAAACTGTCGCTAAGACTCTCCAAATCAACAGAGCAGCCCTTGTACAGTTAGGTTACACTGTCATTCAGTTCTAGGTTAGGTTAAACTGTCACTAAGACTCTCCAATTCAACAGAGCAGCCCTTGTACAGGTAGGTTACACTGTCATTCAGTTCTAGGTTAGGTTAAACTGTCACTAAGACTCTCCAATTCAACAGAGCAGCCCTTGTACAGGTAGGTTACACTGTCATTCAGTTCTAGGTTAGGTTAAACTGTCACTAAGACTCTCCAATTCAACAGAGCAGCCATTGTACAGGTAGGTTACACTGTCATTCAGTTCTAGGTTAGGTTAAACTGTCACTAAGACTCTCCAATTCAACAGAGCAGCCATTGTACAGGTAGCTTTCTCTGGAATTCAGTTCTAGGTTAGGTTACTGTCACTAAGACTCTCCAATTCAACAGAGCAGCCCTTGTACAGGTAGGTTACACTGTCATTCAGTTCTAGGTTAGGTTAAACTGTCACTAAGACTCTCCAATTCAACAGAGCAGCCCTTGTACAGGTAGGTTACACTGTCATTCAGTTCTAGGTTAGGTTAAACTGTCACTAAGACTCTCCAATTCAACAGAGCAGCCCTTGTACAGGTAGCTTTCTCTGGAATTCAGTTCTAGGTTAGGTTAAACTGTCACTAAGACTCTCCAATTCAACAGAGCAGCCCTTGTACAGGTAGGTTACACTGTCATTCAGTTCTAGGTTAGGTTAAACTGTCACTAAGACTCTCCAATTCAACAGAGCAGCCATTGTACAGGTAGGTTACACTGTCATTCAGTTCTAGGTTAGGTTAAACTGTCACTAAGACTCTCCAATTCAACAGAGCAGCCATTGTACAGGTAGCTTTCTCTGGAATTCAGTTCTAGGTTAGGTTTAAACTGTCACTAAGACTCTCCAATTCAACAGAGCAGCCCTTGTACAGGTAGGTTACACTGTCATTCAGTTCTAGGTTAGGTTAAACTGTCACTAAGACTCTCCAATTCAACAGAGCAGCCATTGTACAGGTAGGTTACACTGTCATTCAGTTCTAGGTTAGGTTAAACTGTCACTAAGACTCTCCAATTCAACAGAGCAGCCATTGTACAGGTAGCTTTCTCTGGAATTCAGTTCTAGGTTAGGTTAAACTGTCACTAAGACTCTCCAATTCAACAGAGCAGCCATTGTACAGGTAGCTTTCTCTGGAATTCAGTTCTAGGTTAGGTTAAACTGTCACTAAGACTCTCCAATTCAACAGAGCAGCCATTGTACAGGTAGCTTTCTCATTGTTCTAGGTTAGGTTAAACTGTCACTAAGACTCTCCAATTCAACAGAGCAGCCATTGTACAGGTAGCTTTCTCTGGAATTCAGTTCTAGGTTAGGTTACTGTCGCTAAGACTCTCCAATTCAACAGAGCAGCCATTGTACAGGTAGCTTTCTCTGGAATTCAGTTCTAGGTTAGGTTACTGTCACTAAGACTCTCCAATTCAACAGAGCAGCCATTGTATAGGCGGGTTACACTGTCATTGAAGCTTCTGATTCTGGTTACACCATCAACACATCTCTCCTGCCCCAGTATCATAGCTCATTTAGAGATAGTTCTACCTTTCAAGTGTCCCTGACAATGAAAACAGGAAAGACAAAGTTGATGTATCTTGACATTTAATTGCTGCATTACTTTTGTCTCACATCGACACTGTTCTTTAACGAGACTACTTTTCCTCTTCATTTCAGTCCCAGAACTTCTCAGTGGAAATCAGCGACCCATGTGCTCCTACTGGCTGGCAGAGTAACTTTACCCATGATGCACTGTTCAAGGCCCCGTGTGTTGGGGGGCAACATGCTGTTGATACCTTCGGGTCTCGTATAATCCCAGATGAGTATCTGGATGAAGTGAGTGTGTGATTCATATCAAGTTAACTGGTTAAATTTGGGTTCGGCTTGTTTTATTTAGTAGATATGTCAGGGTATCGTGAATTTTGTGAAATATAAGTTTGTTGTGCAACTAAATCCAGATTCAGCGTGATTAAGATTCATACTCATGTTAATGGTTCTCTCCTGAAGGTTTCTGGTGGTGATGCGTCTGGTTGTAACAAAAGTCAAGGAAATTCTCCTCACTTGGAGACAAGCAACACAATAAAAGATGTCAGGGCATTGAAACCTAGTTGTTGGGGCATGTTGGGAGGAAATTCTGTGTTTACTTGTAATGGAGGGAGCCTCTTGGGCCTGTGGGGACTTGGGTGAGAACTGAGCAAATGTATGGATTGGATTTTCATCATAGAGTGTAATATATCCTGGTCAGCGTCTGACACTGTTTCTATTAGTGGTGTTCCGATGATCGAAAATAATCGAAAATCGATTAAAAATGATTATCGATTGTAAAAACCATATTTTCGATTAATTGGAATTTTGTTGTTTTAGTTTAACACACTTGAATGAAGTAAACTAGCTACTAAATTTGACAAATATTCACGAACAAACATGCGCTCAACAGCGTAAAGCTATGCGCATTGTAAAATTGTAATGACAGTATTAGTTATAAGAAACATTTATTAGAAAAAACCTGTGTAAAAACCCTTCAAATTGGTGATTTTATTCAAAATGTATATATTTCGATTATAATCGATAATCGTTCACCACAATCCTCCGATGATCGATAGTGGATTTGGTTTCCGATTCCCAACACTAGTTTCTATCTTGTTCACAGGACACAGTGTTCTTGTTCAGTGGTGCCAGTGACGTGACGAAATGCCAGAGCTTTGTGGCAGACAGTCTCTTCAACTTCTCTGCCCAGTGTGACGACAGCCCGTGTTCCTTCAATGGCATCTTCCAGCCTCCTGTTGTTGGAGATTTTTATGTACGTCCTTTGATTATTTCCTATTTTTGTAGTGTATGTCTGGGTCCTCAGCAGCTCAGGTTTGTAGTAATAAGCTGTGTGTAGTCCCGTGTGTAGAGCTCAGGTCACAATCAGTTGAAGTTAAGCAACGTTGAACACAGAAAGGATGGGTGACCGTGTGTGACAGCTTGACTCCTGAGAGTTTCTAGGACTTCAGTCCTGCCCCACAACAAAGCACATGTGATACATGTGGTCTCACCTTAGGCAAGTGAGTTTGTTCAAAATTGCCTCTGTCCTCCCTGCAGTAAAATTGGGTACCTGGTGTGATATGATGGTGGTCTGAATTTGAACCTTGGGCGCCTGATAGTGACCGGTAGTATTCTCCACAGGGAGTGTGCTGTACTCGTTGACTTGGGGTAATAAGTCAGCCACAAAGTGTGCGTGGTGGTGGTGGTGGTGGTGTGTGTGTATTGTTTTGAGCTCCGCCTGTCCTTCCGTCCATCTGAGATGATGGGGACAGGTTTTCTCAAAAACTGTTATAGATAGGGACACCAAATTTCATGTGTCTTCAGGACATGAAACGTTGTCATATGAGCGAAATATTCTCAAGTATGACGTTAAGCCCAATTTCACCTCACCTCACCTCACCTCACCTCACCTCACCACCTCACCTCACCTCACCTCAGGACATGAATGTCATGATGGAGTTTGAACACGGAAACCGTGTTACAGTTTGTTACAGAGTTATGGCCCTTGTTATGCGTTTCCGTTACAGATAGGGAAACCAAATGTGGTGTGTGTTTTCAGGACATGAATGTTGCGGTGGAGTTAGAAAACAGGAACAAATAGGAACAGAACAATGTGGTGGGGGATATTGATGACCATGGCTTTCTCTTCTTCTTATTATTATTATTAAGCTGTAGATTAAGGGGTGACAATGGCGACTGTGTTTGAGTAGTACTTGCATTGGAGACCACAAAACATACAAATGGTCAGCCTTGACCTGACTTGGTTATTTTCCCAGGACATGGACAATTGGTTGGATTAGGATAAGTCACATTGCAAACTATCATGGTATTGCTGACTGATTTTTTAAAGATTTAGCCTCTAAAATGCTCTCAAAGATAAATACTCTAATTTTTTGTAATTATGTTCAGTTACTTCATAGTGGTAAATAATCATTGCCATTCTTTGACTATCTCCAGGCGTTTTCTACGTTCTACTATGTGACAAACTTCCTGAACCTGACCGATGGGACGACTGCCTTCACCTTGCCAAAATTCCATAATGCCATCAACAACTTCTGCAACAAGACATGGCAACAGGTAGGTTCTCATCCTTATTGGATCTAGATACAAGAAGGTTTCATTCACAGCTGCACTCATATGGAAAAGGGGAGGAGGTGGCATCACATCAGAGTCAAGATTTATGTTTATTTGGCAGGCAAGTGGCAGGTACAAAAACACAGCATCAGAGGGGCAGTCACAGTCACAGCGGTTAACGGGGCAGTCATATTTATGGGGGGAGCAGAGACAGTCATATTTATGGGGGGAGCAGAGACAGTCATATTTATGGGGGGAGCAGAGACAGTCATATTTATGGGGGAGCAGAGACAGTCATATTTATGGGGGAGCAGAGACAGTCATATTTATGGGGGGAGCAGAGACAGTCATATTTATGGGGGGAGCAGAGACAGTCATATTTATGAGGGGAGCAGAGACAGTCATATTTATGTTTGGTCATGGTCAGTCACTTTTAGGAGGGGCAGAGGGGTATCTGTGCTGGCAGAGGGGTATGTGTGCTGGCAGAGGGGTATCTGTGCTGGCAGAGGGGTATCTGTGCTGGCAGAGGGACAATCACATTTGTAGGAGGTCGAATGGGAAGTCACATTTATGGGAGGTCAAAAGGGAAGCCACATTTATTGATGGGCGAAAGGGAAGTCACATTATGGGAGGTCGAAGGGGAAGTCACATTTATGGGAGGTCAAAAGGGAAGTCACATTTATAGGAGCTCAAAGGGGAAGTCACATTATGGGAGGTCAAAAGGGAAGTCACATTTATAGGAGCTCGAAAGGGAAGTCACGTTATGGGAGGTCGAAGGGGAAGTCACATTTATGGGAGGTCAAAAGGGAAGCCACATTTATGGGAGGTTGAAAGGGAAGTCACATTATAGGAGGTTGAATGGGAAGTCACATTTATGGGAGGTCAAAAGGGAAGCCACATTTATGGGAGGTCGAAAGTGAAGTCACATTTATGGGAGGTCAAAAGGGGAAGTCACATTTATAGGAGGTCGAAGGGGAAGTCACATTTATGGGAGGTCAAAGGGGAAGTCACATTTATAGGAGCTCGAAAGGGAAGTCACATTATGGGAGGTCGAAGGGGAAGTCACATTTATGGGAGGACAGACAGTGTTATTTATGGGAAGTCAAAAGGGAAGTCACATTTATGGGAGATCACAGGGTCAAAGGAAGGTTGCCTGAGAGCACACATAGATGGGGATACTGTAGAAAAACTATATGTACCTCGCTGGTTGTGTTGCAGGTGGAGGTAATGCCAGCTGCCAAGAAGTCTGCCCTTCCGTCGTACTGCTTCCAGGGTAACTTTATTGACATCATACTCACGAAGGGATACGGCTTCGATGCCAGTAATTGGAACAACATTCATTTTGTTGAAAAGGTGAGTGGGGTTAGCTTCTTGCATCCATCATGCATCCTTGTCTCACAAGGAATGGATTAAGCTGTATATTGTGGTACTTGAACAGTGTTAGAATGACACCTCATGCTACTATCAACTGCTACACATACACTACCTAGACAACAGTCTAATGTACACATACACTACCTAGACAACAGTCTAATGTACACATACACTACCTAGACAACAGTCTAATGTACACATACACTACCTAGACAACAGTCTAATGACAACAGTACACATACACTACCTAGACAACAGTCTAATGTACACATACACTACCTAGACAACAGTCTAATGTACACATACACTACCTAGACAACAGTCTAATGTACACATACACTACCTAGACAACAGTCTAATGTACACATACACTACCTAGACAACAGTCTAATGTACACATACACTACCTAGACAACAGTCTAATGGTTCATGCTTGTGAGCCTGGCTCTCTTCCTCTATCCGTGTTATGGTTTACCGGCATATGTAAATTCTCTTCGGAAAAGCTCACTTTAGTGACATCAGTACTGTTTTTGAGCTGTAGCATAAGCACTCAGATTGTTAAACCCAAGAAAACTGTGGGAAGTAAGACAGAGACAAAACTGACCAGGGTCTTGCTCCCTTAGGCTTTTCATCTCAATGGTTTAAACTGAGAGAAGAACCAAGGAGAAGTGTTTCATGTAGATCAGAAACAATCAGAATTGAGAAAATCTGTCAAATGTTGGTCAAAAAGAAAACTTGACTTGTCTGTCCCCCATGTCCTACTGTCCTTGATTTGCCCCTTACATCACGTATCCGGGGCGGTGGGGTAGCCTAGTGGTTAAAGCGTTGGCTCGTCACGCCGAAGACCCGGGTTCGATTCCCCACATGGGCACATTGTGTTAAGCCCATTTCTGGTGTCCCCCGCTGTGATATTGCTGGAATATTGCTAAAAGCAGCGTAAAACTAAACTCAGTCAGTCAGTCAGTACATCACGTATCCATTCTGTTGGCTTCACGTCATCTCCATCTCGTGTATCACTCCATCTCTCGCTCATGAAATCAAAATGCCTCTTTGGAACAGAAGTTCAGCACACTTAAATATTCAAAACCACATCGGAGCTGTGTGGTAGCCTGATGGTTAAAGCATTCACTTGTCACACTGAAGACCCAGGTTCGATTGCCACATGGACACAATGTGTGAAGCCCATTTCTGGTGAATATTGCTGTATTATTTCTAAAAGTGGTGTAAAATCATACTCCCTCACTCAACCACTCAACCCACCCTCATATGTTTAACAAAGTTACACTGCCATATGTATATGTATCAGTGTATAGATGATATTGTCATGCTTGCATTACTATGTATCTCATACCCAAGAGTTAAAACTTTTAAGGTGTGGAGTCAGGTCATGAAGGATAGATAGATAGCCTTAGCTCTGAAATACAGTATTGTTCTGGGCTCCTTATTTTATTATATATTTTTATACATGTTTCAATACAATATCTTTATTTCTGTCTTTGTTCATGTTTTAGGTTTCCAATACGAAGATAGGTTGGTCGCTCGGGTTTATGTTAAACAAAAGCAACGGAATACCAATAAATGCTCCAGCCACTTCTATAAGCACAGTGACCTTTGTGCTGTTGACGGTGTTGTTCGCGCTGTTCATTCTGGCTGCTGTCGGCTTTGCCTGCCATGCTAGATTGTACAAGACTGCCAAAGCCAAGAGGAAATACACAAGACTTGCTGAATATGGAAGCATTTGAGGATATCAGGATCAAGTCATTTTTTAGTGATATTATTGGTCATGAGTTTATAGAAATGAATTAGGTAGTATTGGAAAGGATATTTTGTTGTATAAAGGAAATAGGTATTGAAATTAGTCTAAGTTTGTGTTGAAACTTAAACATATTCTGTTTGAGGGTTTGTATTTGGTAATTTAGGTAAAGAGTTTAAAAACTGGAATACTTAATGGTTGTGTTTTAGAGACAATCAGGTGATTATTTTACCGATGGAATGTATGTTCACATAGATAAGTTATTTTTGTATGGTTTAAATTTACTCATGAATATAGTATTTACTTGTGTGTTAGTTACAAAATAATCTTATAATCAGAATATATTTTCACTTTTGTTGTTATTTTAGACCTGTAAAAAGGGTTATTTGCTGTAGAGTACTTACCCTCCGAACTATTTGACATTTATTAGGATCAGTAAGTTGAGATTGTCGTTGAGCTCAGTTGAGTTAGTACACCATTACTAATTATTGATCATCAACTTCACATTGAAAGGCTTATGTCTTAGTTTAACTTGTATATAACCAAGTTTAGATGCTAGAGGTTATGCTCAATGAGATCACATATCTCACACACACGTGTAAATTTTATATTTTTAAATCAGTGTGTACTTTTTATAGTTTTTTAATTCTTGTTTTATGAAGGGTTAGAGAGTCCATTTGATACGGGACCAATAGTTGCTTGTTTTCCATTTTTAAATTGTGTTTTCATTATTGTTACATTACTGACCAAAATGTTCTCTGTTTCAATACTGACACAGGTTCGGACATTTAATCCCATAGCCATCAAGTACTGTAAGATCTATATTGATCCACTAAGCCTTTATTCCCAGCCCAAAACTGACTGTTGTGTGTATTTACCTTTGATCATGATGATATCTGCAATGACAATAATTGGGTCATACCTATGTTTGATATGACAAGTTCATTCGGCTATGTGTTATCGGAACTCCCACTGTAGGGATTCCATGACACCTGCTAACAGTAGCTGATGTTGGTGAGAAGAGTGGCGCGAGGTTGCCGCGTGTCATCACTAGTCCTAAGGCTGGAACTCATTCTCAAGTTGCTCGCTTTCCTAGTCTGATTATTTAGAGGTAATGTGATCTGTGTGGGGTTGGCAGAGATATGTCATAAAACAACATTCACCTGTCTGAGTGATGGAATAATCCTTTGGTTTAGTACAAGGACCTGTATCTCCATTAGAGCTTTATAATCTCCATGGCTTTATTTTCTTTCGTTTATATGAGGAAGACCAGATAATAGTTACCTACCAAGTCTTTCACAGCTGGTCTCGCGTAGCCTCCAGCTGACCCTCAGATAAGGGAGACAGTCCAGTTCCACGAAGACAACCTGCTGCTATGGTTGCCAGACTTCCTGTATGTAAATGTTACTAGTCATTAGACCATGTATGGATCCTAATGAACAACATATATACTGACAGTAGTTATACCATTTAACATGTCTTGTTAAGGGTAGTAAATTGGACTATGTCCTCGTCCAAGATGTCATTTCTGGAGATCTTGACTAACGTACACTGCTTCTTCAGCAAACTTGACATGCAGACAGGTCTTGTGGTGGACTGGTGTTGATAGGTAGGAATTATAAAATATATTTTTGGAGTTTGACTGAATATTAGTGTTGATATGCCAGAGTGACTACTTGACGGATTCACAGTAAGTATATAGCATTTATGAGTGACTTTGTCATGTTGTTGATATTTGTGTCATAGTCAAACTAATTAATTCTTGACTGGGCATCATAACATGAATGCTGATTATAGAGTAGTGAGACAATAGTGAGAATGGTGTATAGAACACTCCGTGCTTGACAACCTGTTTCCAAGTAATACAATGTTGTATATATGACCACAGTCCATGAACTGTTAGTGCGGAGATGCTGGTGGTTATGGCTAATGAGAGGACATATCTCAGACGCTCCTGTATATAATATGTACACTTCTAATGGATGTATCTGTACAATTAGTTGTGTTATCTGTTCACAGAAAGATCATCGTCAAGATCTTCAGTTTTGATATTAAACAGGTACACAATGGAAGAGGTGACAGTCTGTTTGGATGCATGGACTTCACCAATATCCATGTGCTGGTAGTGCTGTGACCAGCTTATACTTTTAGGGATCCTTTCTATAGTATGCCTCACCATGACTTCAGGTAAAACTGACGGTCTACCACGAGGACCATCTGTGGGGATGGATATGTGTAGCACAAGCTGCTTCTTGCCTTCAGGCTCCTCAAGCCTCAAATATAACTCACTGTATGTCATGTAGGAATAGTTTTTTTGACTTACCTGTCTGAAAGTCAAGAGAGCCAATGCCATAGTGTCTCCATCTCAGAAACCACTGGACCAAGCACTTACATCCACTCAAAATGCAGTGTTAACATAACATGTTGCTAAACTTGCAATTTAGTTTTTTGTATTTTATTCCTATCAGTGTTGACAGCAATTTTTTTGTGTCATGTTGACTTTTTATGCTAACTTTATAGAGGTGAATGGCAGATTAATGGCACTATTTGTCAGTACATATTATGAACATTCCAAGTTTCTACTGCAACAATACCAGCCCTGAAATAGTAATACTCCCAACTAACCAACTATGGTGGTGTCTCAGGAAAGATGCATCTATGTAGATGTACCTGGATTTCAGATTCAATCACTTTTTGCAGTGTCGGTTAATTGATTGTAGAAAGTGCAAGCACCTGCTGAATGTCAAATTATATTTCTTAAGCCATAGAGAAAAAACTGATTTGGATAATTCTTTCGTTGAAGATACGCTGCAGGTCGTCACCAGGTTTTCATGTTAATAACCTCAAGGCATCCAATGTTCAGCAAACTTTTATGTGTTTCTCAAAAACTTTGTGTGTCTATATTGGTGGTTGATTGCACCGATGTATGAAACATTTTAAATTTCTCTGTTTTTTGTGTGTCCTTACAATACTGATGATACCTTCTGACATGATTTCACCAACATCGGTATTACCTGCACAGGAGTTTGTGTGGACAACTGAAATGCACTGGTGATTGTTATTCAGGGTATGGTGTTACATTCTAATGGAGCATTTTGTACGAAATGAACATCTTGATACCCACAGAACAATTTTATCACTGTATGCCATTATACCTGAAACAGCATGGTGGTTTCACATAAATAATATGGACATCGTTTCATAACCATTTCTAAAATGAATATTCAAGTAACAGTTCTCTTGAAATTTTGCAGATGACAATTCAGATCATCTTCACATTCAGTTTTGTAAATATGCTACAAAACATTTGATTGACATTTTAGTCAAGTTTGTATATAGAGATTGATCAAGCTTGGCAATTCACCTGTATTCATGTACATCTTAAGCTTTACTCAGGACAACGACCTTAGAACCTCTAAGAAATGATTATAAATATGCTGTTAAGATAATAAATAAATGCAATGTGCAATGTATGGGTCTTGGTTTCTGTCTCCCAACATGGTTCCGGCAAGTTTATGTACAGTCCGTTTGAGACAAAATGATACCGATGAATTGCAATCTAACACAAAAACATATAGACATAAAAGAATCAAACCAACCCGGACTGCAATAAAAACAGACCAACTCTAGAAAAAAATTGCATAATTTTTGTCACAAAAATAAAAAAGTTGTTTAAGAAACTGCCATTTATTTGTGCGTTTTCCAAGTTTGTTACAAGGGCGCATTGGCAACTAAAGGAACAGCACGAAAAGTGAGATGCACGTGATAACTGCTGATTGACAAAGTGAGAGAAAATGAAAGTCTATAATTTGCAAAGTCTATGATTTCAAGGATGAAAATGACAGGGGGTGACCCAAGTATGCAATTACTAAGTACATACAGCGCACTGCCTGTGCAGCTGGGGTAAGTGTCATCTCGCCAGCTAAAACATTTCTTGAGAACCCGTTAACGCATGTGAATCTCGCTTTGCGAGCTGTTCCTTTAGTTGCCAATGCGCCCTTTTTCTAGAGTTGGTCTTTTTTTATTGCACTCCACGTTGGTTTGATTCTTTTATGTCTATTTGTTTTGTGTTAGATCGCAATTCATCGGTATCATTTTGTCTCAAACGGACTGTAAGATGTTCTCACATACAACAAAGTGTGTCCGGGTGATGTGGAAATTTTAATACAAAAAGTGTATCACAAGCACAAGTAGCACATCCATGAAAACATAGGTTATACAGTTGCAATGTCACCACCATGTACCAGAAATGGGAAGAGAGAATGTTCGGGGAAATCGATAAAGAAAATTACAGATACAACTTTTAGTTCCCTGTAATATTTCCACAGCTAAATGAAGGCATTGAACCAAATAAAGGCAGCCATAGCTGAGAATGTTCTGGTCCTGGTGCCATGCACGAGACATGTTCAGCTAGGGGCTATGGCAGCATGATTCTGTATAATTTAAATTAGAGCACTTAAAGATGTCCATGTTTATGTCCTTCACATTGGTCTACCCCGACCTCGTCCCATGGGAGGTCGTCCTGGTCCTGGGCCTCCGACCTCGGATTTAGGATTCCTAATTGTCTCGTCTACAGACAGGATGAGACAGGTTGCCTCTGCGGCGGCAGTGATGGCATTGATCTTGACAACAGACGGCTCCCACACACACTTCTCAAAGTTGTCGGAGATGTCCTCCTCCAGGATGTTCACTCCCTGCCACACCCCACCTGGGGAGACAATAGTGGACAGATATTTGAAACAGGACAGACTCTTGGAACAACAGTGGACAGATGTATGAAGAATGTAGAGTTGGAACTGGGATATAAACCAACAACCATCAAAATCTGTTGAGCCCTAACAGGGATTGGGAAAGGCAGGGGCCATGGGCCATTTTGCACAGTAGAATAAAAAATGGCCCATTCAGATTTTGAAGTTTACTATTGATAGAAGGGGAAAGGCCCATTCTAAATTCAGAAAATGGCTAATAATCATGAAAATGGCCCATTGTCAAAGTTCTCTATCCCAATCCCTGCCATAAAGACACACCTCTGCTTACAAAACCGGCCACCTACTCTAAATGCTATACAACTGATACCAGTTGATGCTTGCTAGTCAGAATTGTAAGGAAAACCTACCTTGTGCATGGCACTGTCGTAGTTTGTTGAGGATGTTTGTGGCGTCAAAGCCAGCGTTGTTACAGAGCTGACGGGGGATAACCTCCATGGCCTTAGCTAGGGCAGCAATGAGAAGCTGTTCCTTCCCAGCGATGGTGTGGGAGTACGTCCGCAGGTACTTGCTCAACTCCATCTCAATAGCACCTCCACCTGCAGTGGCAACATCATCAATCAGTGCTGGGCGGAGGTGCATATAACCTACTCGTGCTCAGTATTGTAAACATCCAAACTAGCTCACATACAGAAACATTACCATCTTCACCATAAAACTCACAAGGAATACTGAAAATACATACAACCTTTACATATACAGAAATCAATGCTCCACAAATATTTACGATAAGCAACAAAATACAACAGTCTGAATTTTGAGAGCCACTGCCCTTTGAAAATGGATTGTTTGTCAGTTTACATTTAATTGGACTTAATAGTTCAGCCATGCAGAAGCCATGTAACCCTATAGTTCTCTGTTGGCATGTTGGTGATTTCCTCACATGCTATTAAAGCTTCCCTCCGCCATGTTTCTCTGTCAAAGACTTAATTTTGTGACATTTTTCTGTGGTTTTGTACCTTTGACCAGTCACCTTTAAGTAAGACAGTGAGTGAACCACAGAACCCAGTAAACGTGAAGTACCCTCCTGGCCCCCAGCCAGGTTTAACTTACCTGCCACAACTGCATCGTTCTTCATGGCTCTCCTGACGATCATGATGGCGTCGTGCAGCGACCTCTCCGTCTCCTCCATGAACTGTTCTGCTCCACCTCTCAGAATCATGGTGCAGGTGCGGGCCTGGGGACAACCCTTGAAGAAGTTGAACCTGGGGAAAGAGGATAGGTCAGGAAACTAAACAAGTCAACCAACATAAATTACACAGCTGACTGAGTCAAAAGTTTTACGTTACTTTTAGCAATATTCCAGCATCATCATACAAGGGCTTCACGCATTGTAACCAAGTGGGGAATTGCACCCGGGTGCTCCGTGTGACGAGTGAACCACTAGGCTACCCCAAGACATTTCATATTTTGAATAAGGGTAGAAAGAAGAAAAACCTGTGATCAATAGCGAGAACATGGATTGTTTGTATACAATGTCATCTTGGCTACTCCTGATATGGAAGTACTATGATGCATGCAGCACAACTGAATCCCACACTGGCTGGCCTCTACACCAACCAGTGATATTCTCCACTGATGCTTCTGCCGGAAACTCAATTAGACAAGCCCCATACAGTAATGAGATTCATCCACGCAAACCTACCTCTCTCCGCCAACCTGAACCTCCTCGAAGTTCTCGCAAGACCCCAGCACATCCTCCGTGAGTTGCTGTACCGACGTCTGTATAGACCCACCACAAGCCTTCATAGTCCGCTTCAAGTCCTCATCTGGCACACGACCAGCACAGAACATGTCCCTGCAATAAAGGTCATAATGATTGAGACACACATTTAAAGTGAACGCTTTAGTTTCCACACTTACCTAAGACACTTACAGTACACCGTCTAGTCCACACATAGAGCTAGGGTCATACAAACAAATGTTTCAGTTAAGTGAGTATGGTTTTATGCTGCCTTTAGCAATATTCCCGCCATATCACGGCCAGAAATGAGCTTCACACTTGCTACCCATGTGGGAAATCGAACCCAGGTCTTCGACATGACGAGCGAACACTTTAACCACTAGGCTACTCCAGCACCCCATTTCAGTTAAGTATGTGAGATCAAACAAAGGCATACACTACATTCAAGACTGACTGAGTTTGGTTGTACGCCGCTTTCAGCAATATTCCAACAACATCACGGCAGGGGACAGCAGAAATGGGCTTCACACATTGTATCCATGTGGGGATGCGAACCCGGGTCCTCGGCGTGACGAGCCAACGCTTTAACCACTAGGCAACCCCACCGCCCCCTACATTCAAGAAGCATGCACGTGGCCACATGGGCAACTGCTAGCACAACTAATTCAGAAATGTAGATATTTGAATTGCCATTTCTGTAACCGTGGTAGTGTTATTCTCAAAGAACAGTTATGTATTCAAGAAATGTATATGATGACTGCTAAACTGCCCTGCTCACCTGTCAGCAAAGTACTGGGTAGCAACATCTCCAATGGGGAGCTTTGACAGGACCACTTTGGCTCCACTTTTGTAAATTTTGTCCAGCTTGTCATACAGGATATTCCACTCCGCATCAACAATAGACTGGTACTCCTGTAGCAGCAGAAAGGGAAATCAGACATACACTCAGTCATGTTCAACTGTCCAGGGCCCTGTTCCTCAAAGCGATCGTAGCACTACGACAGTCGTAAGTCTATGTTAAAGTGTGGGAGGTACGATCATCTTAGCGCTACGATCGCTTTGAGGAACAGGCCCCTGGGCTATATGGATATTCTAGAGATGACACGTATGTCTACTGACAGATGGAAGTCACCTACCTCTACAGTATCTACTCGGACTTCAGCATTCTCCTTCTCAGCCTTCAGCTCCAGCTCCACGTTCAGCAGAGCTATTTTGGGATTCTGGTACTGCTTGCGCTGCATCTCAAAGCCTGCGTAGCTGAACGTCTTCTTGAACGCCACCCCGGACACCAGCATGGAATCCTGTGTTAATAACCAAGTGTTTACATACAGAGACAAAGCAAATGATTTCTATTATTGACTCATGTGTACTAGAGTTATAAAGCTACAGCATCCCCACATCAGAAAGATAAAGAACACCATGACTGACAGATTTGTTTTGCAAGAAATAAGTGGAAAGAAGAAGACAAAATAACACAAAGGCAACAGCTTTTTTATAGGAATTGGAAAAGTGAGCAAAAGATTATATATGCTAAAATCATCAGCCATTAAAAGTACAATCATCATCATCAAAATAAGACAAGACAATTGCGTGTGTACAATGAGAAAAAGATAGGTGGGTGCATGTGTCTCCAAGATGTTATTTTGTCCACAATGAAACCAAACTGTTGATCGTCTCACCTCGAGTGCTCCGCCCTGCACTTTCTTTATGCCGATCATGTTGAGAGGCAGCAGCTCGTCCAGCATCATTACAGCATCCACCACCATCTTGGCGAAGAAGTCCTTCTGGGAGGCCACCAGCTTCGAACTCAGTGATGTGGCGGCACACTTCTCCAGGAGACTACGCTGCTCACTAAAACAAAGACAAACTCTTACACTACGTTGAAGTGGCTCTAAACATTTATGTTTACCTTAACATACCAAACTAAATGCAAACAGGACGACATGTTTACATCAGCATTACCTTTGAAACACCGTACTGGATACAAAATGCACAAAACAGGTCTGATAGAGGGTTTGGTGAA